TTCTGGTTGCTACTGTCTCTAACCCTGTAAACCATATTGCATGACGTTAAAACATAACTTGAAACTAATGCAAACCGACAATTTTCTTTTCATTATTATTTTATGTGCCCTTCCTCTTCAGGATATGGGCGATCATGGCTCTTCACTACTTACTATCGTTTAGAGTTACAAAGGACAGGGAGTTGTGAAGAGCCACGAAACGATGCAATAATGCTTGACTCATTATATCCACTTCCTGTTCGTCATCTGGCTTATGCTTATATCCCGTTGAATCTCCGGTTCTTGTAACATCATCGAAGTTAAGCAACGTTGGGCCTGGGCAGTACGTAGGTGCGTGACCACTTGGGGAGAACAGGATGCGCTGTCCGCGTAGTGGATAACATCTCCGAACTGGTAATCGGAGATCCAATTCAAGTTGGGTTCGTTGTATTCACTTACGTTCAAATACCACTGGGAAAGTTATGAATACAACTCTATACTCCCACATCTATAGTTTAATTAGAAAGACTTGTATCAATAAATAATTATCTACAAAATATACGATCTCCAAGTATCTGCAGACTTTAAATGACGTCAACAAGTTTCATAAGCAGTACGAAAGAAATCAGTGAAACAAATTTTTCTTCATCTAAAAATTGTTAATAGAAACTCGTTTGGTAGATTACTAGCTCTTTCCTTCTGTCCCTATTGACTTCAGTTTTTCCCGTGAATGTCGATTTCTCCAAGCCCTCTTTCCTCATTCTGCGTGCTAGGAATTTCAAATGTCTCTTTCTGACTCTATGCCTAAGTGTCATTTTTGTTTCACTTTTCCTTTAAAATTCCTGGCCATTATTATATTCAGCCATGGGATTCTCTACACACGAACTTGAGAAGTTTTTATAGTGATGATCATTCTGTACAAGGCCCGGAATACACTCGAGGTAGAGGATTACTGCGCATACTGAAAAAAAATCTCTACCTGTTCCATAATAGTTTGCTGGATCTTATTTTCAATAATAATGATATTAATATTACTAACAACAACAACAGCAATAATAATAATAATAATAATAATAATAATAATTGATATGTCCCGGAAAGGGATATATTTGATCGAAGTAGCTAAGTGGTTTTGGCTACTATAACCAAGTAGTACACGGTAGCAGTAATCGACTGGTACTCGTCGTAGTCACAAGTAATAGGTGTAGACCAATAGGATAGCCAATGGCGCAGTCCAATGGGCGTGGTCAGAGACTTAAACTCTGTCGTACCTACACGTCCGTCTATATTTATGACGGACTCCAGCCAATCATATCCCAGTGAGGGGGAACACGGGTGTATGCATATTCCATTATATCAATAATAATAATAATGTGTGCTTGGTAATTTCTAGTTAGCAAGCATTGGTCTTGCTGAACAGGAGCAATGCTTACTAAATAGAGATTACAAATTCCACATACTGAAAAATTGTGTTAGCGTAAAATGCAGATTCTGTTATAAATATCCAGAAACAATTTACCATCTTGTATCAGGTTGCACAGTATTGGCACCCACTGAAAATAAAACCCGACATGACAGAGTGGGCTAATATCTGTAGTGGGAAATCTGCAACTTTTACGGAAAGGAAACTGCAAGAAATTGGTTTGAACAGCACCCAGATCCGGTTACAGATATAGATTGTATAACAGTTCTATGGGACTTTACAATGCATATAAACAGAGCAATCACAGCTAATCGTCCAGGCATCTTGACCAGAAAATACAAAAACAAAATATGCCTTCTTATTGACATAGCAGTCCCTGTAAACACTAATGTATCTTTAAAGATCTTCAAAAATTATCAAAATACAAGGACAAAAAATCGAAATCTCAATCTAGTTGTAGTTGGAGCCCTCGGTTTGATTGGAAAAGATAAAAAAATCTCGTCGAATTCATCTTTGGTAGCTCAAGCCTTAAAAATTAAAAAAATAAAAATGTACTCACAAGTACAGCTCACATTTTTTGACGAGCTTTATCTATATAAATATATGTTATTTTAGGGTTTTTTTTTTTGGTTTTTTTTCTAAATGCTCAGTGGAAAATGTCATTATGCTATTTCAAACATTAGGTCTCATTTTGGGACCCGGATGAAAAGAGAAAGGTATACACAAGAAATAAACGAACATCCAACGGCGGAAACGTCGTGAATTTGGCATCAAATATGAGGACAACAGTCCGACACAATGTAAATAGTGTAAATAATTACAATATATATATATATATATATATAGACAGAAACAATTTGATATTTATATGTTCTTATCGGAAATGGCTTTCATGGAAATAAATTAAAATGATGAAATTACATTGGAAATATTTAACGAATACGCATGCGCTAACAACAAAAATACGATCACATTTGAAAGACTCATCTAAGATTTCCCTAACACTGTAACAAATGATGCTGACAATATTTGCATCTATCAGCTCGACATATTAGGTAATGTCAAAATTAATTTCCGATTTTGGAACAAATTTAATGACGAATAAACCATTATAACCAGTAACCATGCATTGGCTGATTATTTTTCTATGGTTTATCAACGCAGTGTAGGTTATTTAAAACCGGCAAATATTTATAATTTGTAAGTATTTTGAAGATAATAAAAATTCACTGACATAAATTTTACTAATTAACCCATATTAACTGATATTTCTAAGCGGTCACGCATAAAGGCTGTGGCCAGGGTTAATGTTGCTTAACTTCCGTGAGTGTACGGGAACGGATGTTTCAACACGATGTGGTCGTAGTCCTGATTCGCGTAAGGGAAATATACAATTATTGTAGTTCCAATGTGACGAGAGTGTTTTCAAAACTATATTCCTTTTCACTTGATATGACTTAAGATGTTCTTATGCGTTTAGAATAGAGAATATGAAAGAAGAAAAACGGAAGAATGGATTCACGAAGCAAATAGGCACATGAAATACGTGATTAACACCAGGAAATGCTAATTGTTCTGAATCGAATTAAAAGTCATTAAATGAACAATTTCCTTAAAAAAAAAAAAAATAAAATAACCTTTGACGAAGCAATATTTACTGGGTAAAGATACCCAAATAGACTCAGTGTGACAGCAGAGCAACAGAGAAGGCAAGTGCATCAACAGGTTAAGATTAACACTATCGTCCTCGCAGAAAATTTGACAGGTGCAGCTCACCGGTTACAATAAGGAGGCGGAATTGTTAATCGGAGATGCCGAGTTCCAATTCCAGTTGGGTTTGTTATATTCACTTACGCGCAAGTCCCCTTTGAGAAAAACTATGAATAAACCTCTTCTTCACCATGTATGGGTTAATTAGTAAACTTTTATCACTAAAACCGTTATTATCTCCCCCACCCCAGGAAAAACTTCTTAAAAGTTAAAAACATTTTCTAGTTTTCATTCATCTGCAAAAGGTTCATAAGCTGTAGAAAATGAATCAACCAATCGAGCGAGGTTCGAGTGGAAATAAAAAACTGTTATAGTGGAACACACCTATTCTATAGTTAATAGACTCTCCCACCTATAATAAGTAGGAGTAGTAAGAGTAACGAGTGGGCTCAGTGGGTCGGGCAGTGAGTCGATGCCGGACGACCGTTAGACGGATACTAAAGTATCAGCGACCACTACTAGATTTCTCTGCGTCATTATCTATTATATCAAGTTCCTAACGTTTTGTACGTCAAACCTATTTTAGGACCGACTTAGTACAAATACAAGACTCCACTGTGAAACTTAGTTAGAGGGTTGCGGAGTAACCCTCTATCTAGAGTGGTTCTCGGGCCTTTTACAGAGTGAACCTCTCTGTAAAAACAAATAAATAAATATTTGACGGTTCGTTTTTTTTTCTTCATCCGTGAGGAAATTACCCAGCATTCACTGCCATAACGGAAGACTGGTATTACATAGCAATTGAGCACCCTTTCTGTGTTTCTAGCGAAATAAGAATAGTTTTGCGATTTATTTGTGTTCATTCAGTCAACCACTTCCACAGACATTCTCCCCCTTTTGTAACTGTATATTTATAGGCAACGTCAGTTAACATGCACACATATAAAACTAGCTATTTGAAAGCTCACGCATCTATCAGGTTATTCTTGTTCTTCCCTTGTTTAAGTTTTCGTTTTTTTTTTTTTTTTTTTAATTTTTGCTTTTTAGCGGTCGGTTGTTTTGACCCGTCACAGAATGTAATTGCGATCTTTGTTTTTGCCTCGTTATTTGCCGCCTATTAACGAGATTCTTTTTTTTTTTCGGGTGCAGCGTCCTCTGTTAGCTATTTCCCTAAATTGGCATAATGGCCTCTGACGTAATCACTGGCATCAACAGAGGATTTACGTATTGTTCATTCTTTCTTCTTGTTTTTTTTTTTTTTTGTATGTGTTTATTTTTATTGTTAACCACGATTTTATTATTCGTTCTTCCACAAAACCCGTTGCTATTAAAAAAAAAAAAAAAAAAAAACAATAATAAAAAAAGAAGAAAATGATAAAGAAGTCACGCAGGCATGCAAAGCTGTCGCTGAGGCAAGAACATAACTCTCTTCACGCAGAATAACAGAGACAGACAGACACACACAAGAAAAATATACACAGAACTGGAAACAGAAGAAGACTCATAATTATATAAACACAAGCACTTAATAAAATGGACTTCATACAGATACACAAAAAACAGAAAATAGCTTACGTGCGCATTGAAAAATACAAGAGGTTTTCAGCAAATGCAGAGGAATTTATGGAACTTTACCGATTTACACATGCAATTTAACGATTAAGCACGATCAAAGAGGCGTTCTATTTTTCCCTATTTTTTTCTTTTATAAATATAAGTAAACTCTATGGTTTAAAAAATGTTTAAGACCCAAGCAATACCTGGAATCATTATCTAGCCAGATGCTTCGATATCTATTCATGTCAGCATTTCATTGATTTGTATTACTATCGTTTCAATGAAATCCATATCACGAAAAACATATATATCTGTCTAGTTTTCTCTTCAGATCTCTCTCTCTCTCTCTCTCACACACACACATAGACACACAGTCTCTCTCTCGTTCTCTCTCACTCTCACTCTATCTATCTATCAAATTCGTTTTGTACAATCAATCAATCAATCAATCTATCTATCTACCTATCTATCTATCTATCTATCTAATACGTTTTGGACAATCTATCTATCTATCTATCTCTTCAGATCTCTCTCTCTCTCTCTCACACACACTGTCTCTCTCGCTTTCTCTCTCTCTCTATCTATCTATCAGTTTCGGTTTGAACTATCTACCAAATTCGTTTTGTACAATCTATCTATCTATCTATCTCTTCAGATCTCTCTCACTCTCTCTCTCTCTCTCTCTCTCTCTCTCTCTCTCACACACACACACTCTATGTACCCATCTATCTATCAGTTTCGGTTCGAACAATATATCTATCTAGCGATCAAATTCGTTTTGTACAATCTATTCATCTATCTATCTATCGATCTAGTTCTCTCTTCAAATATCCCGCCTCTCTCTCTCTTTCTCGTATTTAAAAATTGTAATTTTACGCCTACCTGCCTACACATTCAAGAATCATAATAAATTAAATACGCTCTCAGGCAAAGTTAAAATGTACTTCCCCATTGTAGGTTTAGCCCGGTGTTCTCCAGATCGCATTTTTTAATTAAAACTATCGAATGCACTGATCGGTAGACATATATTTATAATCTCTGTCTATCTATGCGTTTACCACTTTATTTCAATTTATTTATAAATATGAATTTATGTGTCATTTCATATACGGGTAGTCATTTCGAATAAATGTAGGTGGTGTAACGGTTATCGACGTGGAAAGGGGAATCCGGAATAAGAATTCAATTTCTGACCGAATCTGGTACATTCAATTTAGTTCTAATGTCCCTGGACATGGGTACGATTATCTCTAACTTCGTCGTAGTCAAAAATTATATAAAAAAAAATAAGGGTAGATTGGGATCTCGTCATGAAAGTAGAAGGTTGTCAGGGAAATATTAACAATGGAGAAAGCAATGTGAAAATACAACACTATACTTACGTAGTAATACATGTTAATTGTGATGGATAATAAAAAAAGAAAATGTGGAGAGCCAGAAATGCTTACGTCATGAAAACCAACATTCATTTTTCTTTAATGTTTATATTTGTTGCTGCGATCAGTTTTATTTTTCTAGCCATTATACACACCCTATGTATATAATATAGGCTCTACTTGTGTATCGAGCACTGTTTTTTAAAAATATAAACAAAAATACTAAAGAACTTCGGATAATCAAGCTAACGGTTCTTTTATATTTTGTCAATATATTTGCACGCATATATATATATATATATATATATATATATATATATATATAAAGAAATAATCACGCATAGAATCAATCAGCAATATTAATGCTATTATTGGCGATATCCATCGCTAGTAGTATATAATGTATGCATTAAAATTCTGTTAATCCATAAAATGATGTGATCCTTCTCTACAAAACTGTTGTCTGTTGTTTCCAGTTTATATTTTTTTAAAATGCAAGTACTTTCGAATAATCCTTTATTCATCCTCGGGCATATTTTTTTCCTTTTAAAATTAAAACTTGGAGACGAAATAATTGTTTGTAGACCGAAAGATGTTGAGAATGTGCTATTATTGACGGTTGTGTACAATATCGGAACGTGTAAAGACGCAACGCTAAGTTTTTCAAAATTTCAAGTGAGAATTTTTACTTGAACTTTTCTTGTGATGTGGTAAATCCATATATATATATATATATATATATATATATATATATATATATATATATATATATATGGTGAAAAGTTATAGTTGTTCCAACAATAGAAAAATGTATATTTAAAAAAAAAAGAGAGAAACTGCAATGTTTTTCGTTATAATGTGGATTTGTTTTAGGGTATTTATTGCATTTTATGCTTCATATTTCTGCAACACGGGTTTCGGGTATCTTGACCTTCTTCAGCCAAACACAAGGAATACATTTTTGAAGGAATATATTTTCCTTATGTTCTTTTAATATTTCATTGTTGGTTTCCTGTACTTGTCTTAAAACGCAATTCAAATCAACTCTACAAGAACTCCAATTTCATAACGCTTAACTGTCAGTGAGTATTTCCCACCTAAAAATTGCATGCATGCATGAAACTCGAAGTGGTGAATGGTTGTGCAGAACCACCCACGCATTTCGATAGAAACGAATACAAAAACTATACGCATAGTATGCCACAATGTCTTCAAATCACCCTGCTTATGTTTTGAATTCAGAGTCACCCTTTTCTTAAACTGGTTGTCAACCAAGGCGTAAATTCCAGTCGACCTTCAATTTTAACGCATAGAAAGGTTATATGTAGAGATGGGTTCATGTATTTCCCAACGTTATTTCAAAAGAAGAGAATAATTCAACTCGAACTCGGCTCCCCGAATTCTCATTCCGATCTATTTTACATGATACCATCGGCACATCCAATTCAGAATTTCACACCTAAGTCACGCCATGTTTACGGTGCCCACTCATCGTCATTGCCTTCGTATTCCATTGGTAAGAAGAAATTTCCACTCAGGTTTATTTACAAGAAGACTCTCGAGTGAATGCTTCTCTGACCACACTGATCTTAACCACTTCAGGTCTAGGATATATAATTATCTATCTTACATATTATTTAAATCTGCAATTCTTTCTTTCTTTCTCCTCTTAAGTCCATACAGCAAGACCATTCAATAACACTCTTACTTGAGTGACACTTGTGACTCATATTGGGTGAACAGTATTATTTTTGAAAAAAATCTAGAGAATGACTAATCCTAATCACTTAAAAAGACTGGATGTATATTTTGAATTCCACATAAGAAAAACAACATAAAACAAACTTCGCATATCTCAGAATCTTAGAATGTGTAACAGTTTATATGCATTCTTGAGTTGCTGAACGAACTACAGTCTTTCTCAGTTGAGTTAAGACATCCATAGTATGTCTACCTATTCAGCTGCAAATATTTTCACTTAAAAAAACATATTTCTCTGGAATATCTGGAAAAAATTAGAAATCATATACTTTTCTATATTAAAAATTAATTTAAAAATCATAACGCAGGTCTGATTCCATTTTTATTTCTCTTTCTTTCATAGATTTTATTGTCAGTAAAAGATTTATTTACGAAGTGACGCGCCCTTTGCTCTATTTTCCCAGCTTTTTCCATCGGCCATTTTGTTTTTCTATTCCTCCAATAACGGAAATACCCGAAAATAGCTTGTTTGGTATTTTCAGATGCTATTTAAAGCCTTGGGAAGCATCTCGTTTTCCAAGTAAACAGCAATTTATCACTAATCTGCTCAGTAAATTAAAAAAGGAAGTTAACAAACAAGATCTTAAAATATGAAAATAATTATGTGTTTGTCATTTTTCAATCTTAAAAAAGAGTAAGAAAATTAAGCATGAGAATTTTTGAAGTTACTTGTTTAACAGTTAAAAATAAGTGATATATTTATAGGATAATCAGTTTTGATATTGCATAATTTTTGCGGATAGGCATCAAAAATAATACATACATATATATATATATATATATATATATATATATATATATATATATATATATGTATACTCTCTTTACAATTGGAATTAAGATACCTTTAATTAATAACCATTTTCATCTACGAATTTTAATTTTAAAATTCGCAGGGTTTTTCAAACTGTTTACGGTATCAGGTTGTACTAGTATAAATAGAGCGAGCAGTTTGTAGTGGGCGAGATAGAGTTCCCCAAAATACATACTTTTACCCTAAAACAGTTTGAAAAATCCAGCGTATTTTAAGATTAATCGCAACGATGAGCTGTGATACAGCGGAACAGTAATGTCTACGAATGATATATATATATATATATATATATATATATATATATATATATATATATATATATATATATATATATATATATATATTCTCGCCGGATATAACGGTAGTTACTCCAACAAAGGAGGACAATGTTCCATCTCAACCGGAGAGCACATATTGTTTGTTATTTTCTCGTGCGCACGGATTAAAAATACATCCATTTAACTCATTAGACTATATATATATATATATATATATATATATATATATAATCGATTTATTAAAAATAATAGCATAAACATGTTATAACATCACTACAAAAATAGCCATTTTGTTTCAGTACTACATCAATCCTCTATCTCAATCTATAAAACAAAGGTTGACTGTTTCAAACAATGGTATCCACGAACAATAACCTTTCAATAAATAAAAAATCTCGGATTAAAAATACATCCGTTTAACTCATTAGAATATATATATATATATATATATATATATATATATATATAATAATTTATTAAAAAATGATAGCATAAACATGTTATAACATCACTACAAAAATACCCATTTTTTTCAGTACTATATCAATCATATATATATATATATATATATATATATATATATATATATATATATCCGTTTTCCTATTGTCTTTTATAAATATATATATTTCCAGTAGGTTTCGCCATGCACAAGGCTCAGGGGCCACTCGAGTTAGAGGCACATGTTAAGGGATAGTTTATATGGTTTGAAGGGGAACATAATGGTTGACTAGACTTCAACAGGTCAAGAGGTTAGTGATCGGGAAACATCATCTTGGGAGTCTGTTCCACAGGTTCTCGGGAATGAGTGGAATTTCTTGCCGATGGAATACGAGGCTTTCCTACTATGTAAGTGGTGTGGCGTGTCCTAGCCGTGATGCTTAGACCTGGAAGAACTAAGAAATGTAATTCATACGAGCACGTTCCGTGATAGTTGCGATAGAGCTGTGTGAGACTCGCTACATCTCGCATGTAAGAGAGAGTTGCTGAAGGATAGAAAATAATTCTTCTCTAAAAAGGGTACGGAGACGCTTTTGAACTGTATCATGTTTGGAAAGTGAGGTCTGCGAAACCCCCGCCTAAATATGACAACGGTACTCCATTTTCGGCCTGATCTGGCTCTTATAAATTTAGGATAACATGAGGAGTGAGATAATTACTGAAACGGTAGTGGGAGCCTATAATTTTACCTAGATCCTTAGCAATCGCTCATATATAGGAGTTCCACTTGAGGTTGGGTGTTGGTTTGAGGTCTAATATCCTCCCAAGTCACGGGGACTCCTCGAAGGGACATCCTTTCATTGTGACTGACGGAATTTCGGGTTTTATCGGCATTCAATGTAACCAGCCATTTTCCTCTTCTGAGAAGTTAGTGTAAGATCGGAAGAGATGTTAGAAGTGCGCCCGTATATCATCGTATCATTGGCATATATATTTACACAAGATCGGAATATATTCTTAGGTAAATCCTTTATGTACGACAGAAAGAGGATTGGTCCGAGAGATGACCCCTGGGAGATACCTGTGTCGTCCACCAGGAGTACTGTCAGTTAATAACTACGTTCAGGGATCTACCTAGTACGGAGGATTTTATAACAGAGAAAATCCCTCCAATGATTCCATAGATGGAGAGCTTGTCTATCAAACCTTTGTGCGACACTTTGTCGAAGGCCCTCGA